TGTTTGGGCACGTACCCCCCATCTCTGCTTGGTCTAGGTCTAGCTCTGCATTCAAATCCTGCCACAAAACACTGTCCTGTCAAGATAGCGGGCAGCCACCTAATCTAATCAATGCACACCCGCACTGGAACGTGGGCACTCTTGCAGAAGTCATTTTCGGGGAATGGGGGACATTTTCCCATCTCCGCCGTATTAAGCAGTTGGTCCCTTACCCTTTCTCGCCCTGATCTGGCCACAGTGATCCATGCTACAGTCACCTCTAGGCTTGATTATTGTAATTCGCTCCATGCGGGGCTGCCCTTGAAGCTGACCCAGAAACTCCAGCGGGTGCAGAATGCTGCAGTGAGACTCCTTACGGGGTCCTTGCCGCGGGATCACATTCATCCAGTGCTTTGCCAACTGCACTGGCTCCCGGTGGAGTACAGGGTCAGGTTTAAGGTGCTGGTTTTGACCTTTAAAGCTCTATGCAGCCTAGGACCCACGTACCTACGGGACCGCCTCTCCTGGTATGCCCCGCGGAGGACCTTAAGGTCCACAAATGACAACATTTTGGAGGTCCCATGTCACAAGGTGGTTAGATTGGTCTCAACTAGGGCCAGAGCCTTTTCAATACTGGCCCCGACATGGTGGAACGCTCTGTCCCAAGAAACTAGGGCCCTGCGGGACTTGACATCTTTCCACAGGGCCTGCAAGACAGAGCTGTTCCGCCTGGCCTTCGGTTTGGACTCGGTCTGACCCTTATGTTTCCCTCCCCTTATGGTCTTGATCTATGGGCTACTTTTAAAATGAGGCTGCATTTTAAATTGCATTTTAACCTGTATTTTAAATTGGTCCCCCCCCCTATTATGTTTTTACTGTAATTTTACTGGTGTTAGCCACCCTGAGCCCAGCTCTAGCTGGGGAGGGCAGGGTATAAATAAACTTTATTATTATTATTATTATTATTATTATTATTATTATTATTATTATTACTTGAAGATGCTTTCCTGTGGCTCAGTGGCAGAGCACGTGCCTTGTGGGTGAGAGGTCCTGAGTTCAAGTCCTGTCATCACTGTGGGCGATATGGGGCTAGATCAGTGGTTTTTTGGGCCACCTTCCCCTTGAATCCTTAAATTGATGCCCTACCGTATCAAAAGCATTAATGAATGGGTGAGCACAAGGACGCCACACTGCTAAATAAAGCATGCAAAACGGAGCAAAGTTAGGCATATCAACGGAAATTGTCGGGGAACAGAATCCAGCTTTTCTTGCCACAGAATGTGTGGGAACAATTTTTTTGAAGAATCCTAGAACTGTGGCGTTGGAGGGTCACCAAAGGTCATCTAGCTCAACCCCCTTGCAATGCAGGAATCACAGCTAAAGAATTGCTGCTGTCCCTGTTGCAGACAGCCGTAAAAGCTGTCTAGATCCATAAGAATTTTTTTACATGTTTTCCTGAATGCAGGTAAAGAGTGGACCACATGCAGGTAAATTTGGGGGGTGAGATGAGCTGTCTGTTTCAATGCAGTTCACACAAGACTCTCTATTATATCCATCACAACTGGCTTCACGGAAATGGTTACTCCGTTTTAATTCTTGCGCTCTGGGAAGGATCCGCGAAGTCCAGAGTCAAGTAATGGACGTTGAAGCAGGCATAGGGCTCCACTCCAGGTTTTTGCTATTTCAGCCTCATCAATCTGTGTTTTATCTCCAGTTTTCCTTTGGAAGCGCCCTCATTCCTGACCAGCTGACCTCTTTGTTGGGCAGTTTATCTTAAAGGTTAATCTGCGTTTTTCTAAATCCTGAATTTCTAACCCGAACTCTGATGTTTTAAATTTTTTATAGCCTTTTCCCTCTGGTTTTGTCTCCCTCTGCTGGAGAGAATCAATCCTACGTCACAAAAGATTTCTTCGCCACAGAACCAAGAGGGATCAATAAAACAGGACCACTTTTTCTAAGTTCTTAATTTATAGCGTGACCTTTATCTAGGGGTTTTACATAAACTTGGGAATGTACCGCGGTAGCCAAAATTATTTAATAAGAAATGTTACGTTCTTCAGCCTGCATTGATCGTGGAAAAGAAAGACATTTTTGCATGAGCCAAAACCTTGCCTCCTTCCATCATTCATAGATATAATCCTGCACAATTTATTCTGATTAGCCGAATGGGAAAAGGGTTGTGTTGAGCACTGAAGACCCAGTCCAAACCACTGATATCTTCATAACACCATAGAATTGTAGAGTTAGAAGCGACCCTGATTGTGATCTAGTCCGACACCTTTAATGCCAAACTCATAGCTGAGCCATCCGGCCTCTGTTTAAAAAATCTCCAATGAAGGAGAGTAAAACCCCTTTCGAGGGAGTCGGTCCCACTCAGGGCCAGATTTAGGTTTGATGAGGCCCTCAGCTCCTGAAGGTAATGGGGCCCTTAATTGTAAGTGATTACTCAAAACCTGCAAATGAGTCCATTTCTTTGCATTGTTTCTTGTTATGTACTGAGTTGAATAGGCTCCAAAAAGCAGCAGTCTGATTGGTCCTAGAACAATAGGATTCAGAATGCAGCAGTCTGATTGGTCCGCAGGAGCCACTCAATCCAGCTCCAGGTGGAAGTGAATCCGCAACCTGATTGGCCTAAAGGAGAATCCCGGAACTAGCCAATCACGTGGGTCCCATTGTGTAAATAATGTATATAAGGCAGATCTTTTGGGGGAACTTTCATTCCTCACTACTATGAGCTGAATAAAGAACATGAAATCCACACTTGACTCCGAGTATTTTTCATTTCTGTAGGTAAGCCGTAAATGGTTCCCAATCTTCCTTGAAGGATTTTTTTTTGTCCTTAAGTCAAAGTTTTTCAGTTAGTTTTGCCATTTCGGTGTACAGTGGTGCCTCGCAAGACGAAAAGAATCCGTTCCGCGAGTCTCTTCGTCTTGCGGTTTTTTCGTCTTGCGAAGCAAGCCCATTAGCGGATTAGCGCTATTAGCGGCTTAGCGGGCTTAGCGGATCAGCTGATAAGCGGCTTAGCGGATCAGCTGTTAAGCGGCTTAGCGGATCAGCTGTTAAGCGGCTTAGCGGATCAGCTGATAAGCGGCTTAGCAGCTTGGGAAAAAGAGGGGGGGAGGGAAAAAACCCTGCAGGAACTCGCAAGACATTTTCGTCTTGCGAAGCAAGCCCATAGGAAATTCGTTTTGCGAAGCACCTCCAAAACGGAAAACCCTTTTGTCTAGCGGGTTTCCCGTCTTGTGAGGCATTCGTCTTGAGGGGCACCACTGTATTCCATAAGCATTTCTTGCCTTTCTTCCTCAGTTGGCGTTTTATTGCTTTTCCATCTTTGTGCCAATAGCATCCTTGCCGTGGATGCATAGCTGTCAACGTTTCCCTTTTTTAAAGGGAAATTCCCTTATTGCGAATAGGATTCCTCGCAAGAAAAGGGAAACGTTGGTAGCTATGCATGGATGGAGCATACATTAAAAGTTTTTGTTTTCCCTTTGGCAGATCTTGAGACCTAAAATTCCTAACCAAAAAGCTTCTGGGCTTTTAACAAAGGTTATCTTAAACATTTTTTTCCCCATTTCATTATATATCATTTCCCAGTAATTTTATTTTATTTTATTTTTTGAATAATTTTTATTAGAAATTTTAGCATAACAATTTATCAAAAACGTATAATCCACACACCCCCCCGATTTTCCCTCCCCAAGAAAAACCCAGGACTTCCTTCAGCCCCTCTCTCTGGTTTTGCAGCACATGTTATTCTCTGCGTATTATAAAATGGTAATGATCCTTAAATTATCTGTCAATATGTTACCGATAATAAATTTGTGTTTGTTTATTCAAAGCCTGCCAAGGAGTCCAACTCATTTTGTTCTTTCTATAAATACTTTATAAAAGGTTCCCATTCTTCTTCGAAGTCACAGTTGTCGTTTTTGCGAAGTTTGTGCGTCAATTTCGCCAGTTCCACATAGTCCATCAATTTCCCTTGCCACGGTTCTTTTGTTGGGATTTGTTCTGTTTCCCAGTACAGTGGTACCTCGGGGTGCGAACGGGGCTCCGGAACAGAGCCCCGTTCGCATCCTGAAGCGAACGCAACCCCCATCTGTGCGTGTGCAGGTTGCGTTTTGCTGCTTCCGCACATGCGCATGACGTCATTTTGACCGTCTGCGCATGGGCACGCTCCGTTACTTCTGTGTTGCTGCAGAGCGCAACCCGAAAATACTTAACTTGAAGCACATTTATCCCGAGGTATGACTGTGATTTTAAACTGCCGTATTTTTCGCTCTGTAAGACGCACCCGACCATAAGACGCACCTAGTTTTAGAGGAGGAGAACAAGAAAAAAATATTCTCTCCCTCTCTGCGTAGCACCTCTCCAGTGAAGCGAAGTCAGAACAGCAAGAGGGATCGCTGCACAGCGAAAGCAGCGATCCCTCTTGCTGTTCTGGCTTCTGGGATAGCTGCGCAGCCTGCATTCGCTCCATAATAATAATAATAATAATAATTTATTATTTATACCCCGCCCATCTGGCTGGGCCTCCCCAGCCACTCTGGGCAGCTTCCATAGAAACCAAAAATACAGTAAAATATCACATGTTAAAAACCTCCCTGAACAGGGCTGCCTTAAGATGTCTTCTGAATGTCAGGTAGTTGTTTATCGCTTTGACATCTGCTGGAAGGGCGTTCCACAGGGCGGGCGCCACTACCGAGAAGGCCCTCTGCCTGGTTCCCTGTAGCTTTCCTTCTCGCAATGAGGGAACCGCCAGAAGGCCCTCGGATCTGGACCTCAGCGTCCGGGCAGAACGATGGGGGTGGAGACGCTCCTTCAGGTATACTGGACCGAGGCCGTTTAGGGCTTTAAAGGTCAGCAGCAACACTTTGAATTGTTTGAATAAGATGCACACACATTCCCCCTTATTTTTTAGGAGGGGATAAGTGTGTCTTATAGAGCGAAAAATACAGTATTTTACAATTCCACCATAAGCACCTGTTGCATATCTGCCAACCTTGAATTTCCTCTCTCCCCAGGGACTCCCGTCAACCGGATCCCCATCATGGCCAAGCAGGTCCTGGACCTCTACACCCTGTACCGACTGGTGACCGAGAAAGGAGGCCTGGTGGAAGTCATCAACAAGAAGATCTGGCGCGAGATCACCAAAGGCCTCAACCTGCCCACCTCCATCACCAGCGCTGCTTTCACCCTCCGTACGCAGTGAGTGGCTTGCTGTCCCGCGGGGAAACCAGGGCAGCCCTTCCGCGACCAGGCGCCCTCGCCAGAGCTTGGGGCTACGGCTCCCACCAGCCCCTGGCCTCATATGGGACTGGGCCTGGCGGGGATTTTACTGGTGCCAAGTGGGAGAAGGCAGAGTGAGAGCAGCTCCTGTGGCACAGCCTCTCCGCTTCCAAGCGAGGGCAGAGGAGGGGGACGGCCGTGGCACAGCTGGGCAGGCGTGACTGGCCAGTTTTCAAAGCAGCGCTGCTGTGGCCCTGCTGTGAGAGGAACTGGGCAGACGTCTCCAGATTTAGTCATAGGGAAACTGCACCTGCTGGATTTCTGCCTCCTCCCTATCTATTCAGATCTTCTGCAGTTCAAATCTCCCTTGATTTAGTCATAGGGAGACTGCACCTGCTGGATTTCTGCCTGATGTCTATTCAGACGTTCCACAATGCAAATCTCCCTGGATTTAGTCATGGGGAGACTGCACCTGCTGGATTTCTGCCTGCTGTCTAGGTATTCAGACATTCCACAGTGCAAATCTCCTTGGATTTAGTCATGGGGAGACTGCACCTGCTGGATTTCTGCCTGATGTCTATTCAGACGGTCCACAGTGCAAATCTCCCTGGATTTAGTTATGGGGAGCTGCACCTGCTGGATTTCTGCCTGCTGTCTAGGTATTCAGACATTCCACAGTGCAAATCTCCCTGGATTTAGTCATGGGGAGACTGCACCTGCTGGATTTCTGCCTGATGTCTATTCAGACGGTCCACAGTGCAAATCTCCCTGGATTTAGTTATGGGGAGCTGCACCTGCTGGATTTCTGCCTGCTGTCTAGCTATTCAGAAGTGCAAATCTCCCTTGATTTAGTCATAGGGAGACTGCACCTGCTGGATTTCTGCCTGCTGTCTAGCTATTCAGAAGTGCAAATCTCCCTGGATTTAGTCATAGGGAGACTGCACCTGCTGGATTTCTGCCTGCTGTCTAGCTATTCAGCAATTCAGGACACACAGCCCTCAGTAGAGGGGAAGGGAATGGCTATATTCTGGCAGGAAGGATCCTGGAGCCTCTTCAAAAGAGCCATCTCAATTTCTTTGACTATCATTATTCCATCTGTGCCTCATCTTTCCCCTAAGGAGGTCCAGCTGGTGTAAACGGTTTTCTTTGTTATATCTCCACAACAACCCTGTGAGGCAGGCTAGGCAGAGACACAGCGATTGGCCCCAGGTCATACCCAGGGAGCTTTGTGGCCGAGGGAGGATTTGAACCCAAGTCTCACAGGCCCCCTGAGAGGGGCAATGAGATTCCTTGCAGGGGCACTAAGAGGCGAGGGGGCTCTGGAGGTGCAAATGACTCTGAAAAGCTGGTATCGCCAAATCAAAATCCATCCGTTTGCTTGAATGAAAATAAGGGAAGTAATAGTGCCACTGTATTCTGCTCTGGTCAGACCTCACCTGGAGTACTGTGTCCAGTTCTGGGCACCACAGTTCAAGAAGGACACTGACAAACTGGAACGTGTCCAGAGGAGGGCAACCAAAATGGTCCAAAGGCCTGGAAACGATGCCTTATGAGGAACGGCTAAGGGAGCTGCGCATGTTTAGCCTGGAGAAGAGGAGGTTAAGGGGTGATATGATAGCCATGTTCAAATATATAAAAGGATGTCACATAGAGGAGGGAGAAAGGTTGTTTTCTGCTGCTCCAGAGAAGCGGACACGGAGCAATGGATCCAAACTACAAGAAAGAAGATTCCACCTAAACATTAGGAAGAACTTCCTGACAGTAAGAGCTGTTCGAGAGTGGAATTTGCTGCCAAGGAGTGTGGTGGAGTCTCCTTCTTTGGAGGTCTTTAAGCAGAGGCTTGACAACCATATGTCAGGAGTGCTCTGATGGTGTTTCCTGCTTGGCAGGGGGTTGGACTCGATGGCCCTTGTGGTCTCTTCCAACTCTATGATTCTATGATTCTATGAATTAAACGGAACAGCTTTAATTGGATCCTGAAGAAACGTCTGCTTTGCACTCTATGGTGTTATTTAGCGGGTCATGCAAACCGCTGTTCTGAACAATTCTGAATAGGGTAATAATAATAATAATAATTTTTTATTATTTATACCCCGGCCTTCCCGGTTCAGAAAACCGGGCTAGGGGCGGCTAACAACAAATTTAAAAGACTTAATTGATGCTACAAAAAAACCAGCATAAAATACGGTATAAAATGTGAATAACAGTAAAATAAAAAATCAGTTTAGGGGGGAAATCCACCCAATAAACATTAGATGGTCACCAGGGCTAGCTGGCTAAATTAGTCCTACTTGGGCCAGCGAGGAGACATGGGGAGAATTAGCTGTGGGATCCCAGAGCGGGTAATCTTCATAAAAAGGGGAGAGGGAGGGAAGGAAAGAGAATAAAAGATCAGACTGAATTCAAATTAAAGGCCAAGCAGAATAGCTCTGTCTTACAGGCCCTGTGGAAGGAGGTTAAATCCTGCAGGGCCCTGGTCTCCTGGGACAGAGCATTCCACCAGGTTGGAGCCACCACTGAGAAGGCCCTTGCCCTGGCAGAGGATAATCTGACTTCCTTAGTGGGTAGTGGGTGAGTTGGGGGTGAGTTTATGAAACCGAGGGGACGGGGTTGCCCGGACAAAGTTTGGGAACCGCTACCCTGGCACTCTAACCACTATCCCATGCTTCCTCTCTCCCTTTCTGCCTCCCTCCGCATGCCAGGTACATGAAATACCTCTATCCCTACGAGTGTGAGAAGCGGGCGCTCAGCTCCCCCGGTGAACTGCAGGCCGCCATTGACAGCAACCGGAGGGAAGGGAGACGGCAAGCCTTTGGGACCACGCTCTTCAACTACTCTCCGGTGGGGACGCCGGGGGTCCTGGCCTCGCCCAAGATACCACTGCCCTCCCTCACCATCTCTGCGCACAACTGCAGCCAGATCAACCAGGTGCACACCATCAAGAAAGGTGAGGCAGTTGGGGATAACTCAGACTGAAATTCCCAGGTGTCAAAAAAGATGATTTACCGTATTTTAATAATAATAATAATTTATTATTTATACCCTGTCCATCTGGCTGGGTTTCCCCAGCCACTCTGGGCGGCTTCCAACAGAACACTAAAATACAATAACCTATTAAACATTAAAAGCTTCCCTAAACAGGGCTGCCTTCAGATGTCTTCTAAAAGTCTGGGAGTTATTGTTCTCTTTGACATCTGGTGGGAGGGCATTCCACAGGGCGGGGGCCACTACCGAGAAGGCCCTCTGCCTGGTTCCCTGTAACTTGGCCTCTCGCAGCGAGGGAACCGCCAGAAGGCTCTTGGCGCTGGACCTCAGTGTACGGGCTGAACGATGGGGGTGGAGACACTCCTTCAGGTCTACTGGACCGAGGCCGTTTAGGGCTTTCAAGGTCAACAACCAACACTTTGAATTGTGCTCGGAAACGTACTGGGAGCCTGTGTAGGTCTTTCAAGACCGGTGTTATGTGGTCTCGGCGGCCGCTCCCAGTCACCAGTCTAGCTGCCTCATTCTGTATTAGTTGTAGTTTCCGGGTCACCATCAAAGGTAGTCCCATGTAGAGCGCATGGCAGTAGTCCAAGCAGGAGATAACTAGAGCATGCACCACTCTGGCCAGACAGTCTGCGGGCAGGGAGGGTCTCAGCCTGCGTACCAGATGGAGCTGGTAAACAGCTGCCCTGGACAAAGTGTTGACCTGCGCCTCCATGGACAGCTGTGAGTCCAAAATGGCTCCCAGGCTGCGCACCTGGTCCTTCAGGGGCACAGTTACCCCATTCAGGACCAGGGAATACTCCACACCCGCCCGCCCCCTGTCCCCCCAAAACAGTACTTCTGTCTTGTTGGGATTCAACCTCAATCTGTTAGCCACCATCCGTCCTCCAACCGCCTCCAGACACTCACACAGGACCTTCACCACCTTCAGAGAGGTATAGGCTGGGTATCATCCGCATATTGATGGACACCCAGCCCAAACCCCCTGATGATCTCTACCAGCAGCTGCATGTAGAAAAGCATGGGGGAGAGGACAGAACCCTGAGGCACCCCACAAGTGAGAGCCCAGGGGTCTGAACACTCATCCCCCAACACCACTTTCTGAACACGGCCCAGGAGGAAGGAGCGGAACCACTCTAGTACCTCATAATTAAATACAATATACTCCCATAGAGACTACCTTAAACTGCGTTTAAAACCAAAATTGCATTTGGATAGAAACTCTTTCTCAGGCGGCTAGTCCTAGTCTTTATAACCCTGTACCTTCTTCCAGAAGGCAAAAGCTGAAAGAGATCATTTCCGGGGTGTGCACTATCCTGCGCTATCTCTGCCGCTTTCTTATGACACCTGGAAGCATAGATTTGATCCAAGGTGGGAAGAGCGCACCCAATTATTCTCTCCACAGTCTTTACCACCCTGGACAGCATTGTTTTTCCCCTGACCGTGCAGCTCCCAAACCACACACAGAGACCATAAGTTAATACACTCTCCACAGTACAATGGTAAAATGCCGTCAACAGGTCCTTGGAGAGATTGTTTTTCCAGAGGATTCTCAGAAAATATAACCTCTGCTGTGCTCAGGTCTTTGCTGTTTTCTCCCCAGGTTAGGTCATCATTGTACTGCAGGGGGTTGGACTGGATGGCCTTTGGGGGTCCCTCGCAATTCTTACGCTCTGCAATTCCTCCCCCCTCTCTTTTCTCCTCCCCTCCAGAGGAGAGCATCCTTTCCTCCGCGGTCCCCGGCCGCTTGGCCATCCCCGTCAGCTTAGCCGGCCACCATTTGGTGGCTGCGCAAGCGGCTGCGTCTCAGGCGGCCGCCCTGGAGCAGCTGCGGGAGAAGCTGGAGGGGGGCGAGCCCCCCGAGAAGAAGATGGCCCTGGTGGCCGAGGAGCAGCAGCGCCTGGTCCAGCACGCCCTCCAGCAGAACCTCCTGGCCATGGCGTCGCAGTTCCCAGTCAACATCAAGATCAACAACCGCGGAGGTGAGAGGCGTTCCTCACGCGTCTGGGTCGCAAAGGGTGTCTGCAAACCCCTGCTCTCCGCAGGGAATTCTGGGAAGCGTAGTTTTGTGCCAGGAGGATGACGTGTCTCGGGATCTCGCCCCAAACTACAGTTCCCAGGATTCTTTGGGGCAGCGCAGCCAGAGAGGGCAGTGTCCAGAGCATAGCTGTCAATTTTCACATTTGAAAATAAGGGGTCAGCAGCCTCACCTGTCCTGGGGACAGTCTACCGGGATATCTAACAATCTGGGATAGCAGCAGGAAGCAGCGGGAAATGGCGCTGGAATAAGGGAATTTCCCGCAAAAAAAGGGAAGGTTGACAGCTATGGTCCAGAGGTGACTTGGATCTGTAGCTGTCATCATCATCCATTGTATTACCTGCTCTCCAGCAGCACGTTCCAGGGATGGTTGCAAGGAATTGGAAAAGCAGATTGCTGTCACCGGAGCAGGCCCTGAAAATAATAATAATAATAATAATAATAATAATAATAATAATAATAATAATAATATTTTTATTTATACCCTGCCCTCCCCAGCCAAGACTCAGGGCTCAGGGCAGCTGACACCAGATATAAAACAATTGATTGAAATACAACTTAAAAACAAGATTAAGATACAGCATTAAAAGGCAGCCTCATTTCAGTAGGAACTCAAATCAAAATCTTTTGGGGGGATGAAAACGTCAAGTCTTCACCAAGGCGAAATATCCAGACTGGTCTTACGTGGGCCAGGAAAAAAAGCCAGGGAAGTCCCCAAATAGGAGTTCCATCACAGAAGGAGAAAGGAAAGAGGGGAAGGGGATCAAGTTGATTCTAAGCCAAAGGCCAGGCGGAACAACTCTGTCTTACAGGCCCTGAGGAAAGAAATCAGATCCTGCAGGGCCCTGGTCTCATGAGACAGAGAGTTCCACCAGGACGGGGCCAGTGTTGAAAAGACCACTAGGGTTGCTATTTATGGACCTTAAGGTTCTCTGCGGGGCAGACCGGGAGAGGCGGTCCCGTAGGTACGAGGGTCTTAGGCCTGTACAGTTTTCCGCACCTCTTGGGGGCCAAGGGGCAAGGCAGAGGGGTGCATCTTTCAGCATTTGCGGAAAACTGTACAGAAACACATGCTTCTGGTGGGAGGGAGTTCCACAGTTTAGGAGCTGTCACAGAAAAGGCCCTTCCGCCAGCAAAAAAATAAAATTAAAAATACTTCAGCAGAACTACCAAGAAAGGCTCCCTTTTCTGATCTTGCAGTATCATAGAGTTGTAGAGTTTGAAGGGACCCCGGGACATCTAGTTCTTGAGCTGAGATTCCTGCTTGAAGTGGGTTGGACTAGATGACCTTTGGGGGTTACTTGCAACTCTGCAATTCTAGAATTCTTTGATTTTGGAGAAGCACCTGCACCCCAGTGAATGTGTCTGGGTAGGAAAGGGTGTGGAGAAATTAGTAAGTGAAGAAAGCAGGTGAAAGTGTGCAGGAAGGGAACTTGCACGCTTTATTTTGCAAGTGATTTCAATAGCCTGGAAGTGAACTGTGTGGCAGGGCCATCGCTGACAGTGCTGGCGAGGTTATTCAGGGGGTCCGTTCATCCAAGAAACAGACTCCTTTCAGCAAGGATCTATAAAACAGAGCACACACACTAGAATCAACTTTGCAAAAATAATGTTTCTCAAGGATTCTCAGCTTCCGTTGTTAAGTTACCTTTTGCATTGCCCTTCGAGCCTCTTCAAAGCGCTTCATAGCCATTATTGTGCTACAACAACCCTGCAAGGTAGATCAGTATTACCCCCATATGGTAGGTGAAGCAAGATTTCTTCCTTATTTACCTATATCACAAAATTTACCCACCTCTTGCTTGTGGAAACCTCCTGCCCAAAGCGATTTACCAAAAATACAAAACTATACAATTATTGCAGAGAAAAATGAACAATAACGATTTAAAACTTCTGAGATGAGGCAGGAACCTTTCTACGTATGTGGTGGGAGTGCAAAGAGATAGTGGGATTCTGGGAAAATATCTACAACGAACTGAAAAAGATGTTTAGATTTCCATTTGAAAAAAAACACCAGAATCCTTTCTCCTAGGTATCATGTCAGAGGAAATAAAAAGAACGGTCAGGGCAATATTTATGTATGCAACTACGGCGGCAAGGTTATTGATTGCCAGAAATTGGAAAAAGCAGCAGCGTCCCAACTAAGAGAGACTGGTTATCTAAAACGATGGAATGCTTCCATACTGCTGAACTAACAGAGGAGATATGGTACAAAAAGTGAATAAGGAGTGGGCTATCTTTAAGGACGCGGGTCCTTAAGGGACGCGGGTGGCGCTGTGGTCTAAATCACAGAGCCTAGGACTTGCCGATCAGAAGGTCGGTGGTTCGAATCCCCGCGACGGGATGAGCTCCCGTTGCTCGGTCCCTGCTCCTGCCAACCTAGCAGTTCGAAAGCACATCAAAGTGCAAGGAGATAAATAGGTACTGCTCCGGCGGGAAGGTAAACGACGTTTCCGTGTGCTGCTCTGGTTCACCAGAAGCGGCTCAGTCATGCTGGCCACATGACCCGGAAGCTGTATGCCGGCTCCCTCGGCCAGTAAAGCGAGATGAGCACCACAACCCCAGAGTCATCCACAACTGGACCTAATGGCCAGGGGTCCCTTTACCTTTATCTTTAAGGAATACATCAAAATTTATGTGGAAAAGGTAGAATTTCTGACAGATATTGAGTGAATCCAGAAATTGATTAGAGTGAAAGGAGAGTAAAGTCAAGATAGAAGAAGAGATTAAAGAAGTAATGAAATGCGTTTAAGCTAGTTGGAAAAATAAAGTAGCGTTGCAAGAACGGCTGGAAGTCAAGTCACTTGGTGTGGGGTAGGTGTGTAGATATGTTGAGATGTAGAGTATAGAAAGGTGTTATATAGAGTAATGTAGGTATGTTTTATGTTATGAAAATAAGGTAGTGTGTTATGTACGTGTATTGTGTAAATGTATATGTATGTGTTTTATATGTTAATTAAAAAAATTAAGGAAACCAACTTTAAGATGGGTGAGTAAGGCTGACTTAGTGGCAGAGGTGAGATTTGAACCCAAGGCTTACGGGTTTCCAGAAGAGTCTCTGAGCCGCTTTGCCGCAGGGACTTGAGCTGTGAGCTGCTGGCCCGTCTCACTTTGATGAGCAGCCGCCAATCAAACAGCGGGCTTGGGTTGTGCAAAGTTGTGCTGGGCTGGCTCTGGGCTCCATCCTTCCCGCCTCTCCCTCCCGAAATCCCTCTATCGGCATTTTCTTCTCCCCTTCCAGATGACAGACAGGAGGCTGCATTGAACCTGTCCAGCAATGGCATTAGCAGTATCAACATGTCAATAGAAATAAATGGAGTTGTCTACACAGGTAAATAGAAAGGGGGGGCTGCTTCACCCGTGTAATTGCAGCCGGGAAATCCAATAAGTTATAGCTGCGGCCCGGCTGACGACCTTTCCCTCCGACCCTGATGTCTTTGCTACGATAAAATCCATCATCGTGAAGTCACAGGGCCTGCGGTGTGCAAGAGACTGTCCTTTGCCCAGGTAGGGGCAAGAATGCATGCGTTGAATGCCATGCACCCGGGTGGCAATTTTGGACAGGTTGTACCTGAATGCCCCTCTTATTCGGATGCCCTGGCATGTTACGCTCACCTGGGAGCCTCCTGTGCTCACCTGCTTGTCCGGCCTCTCCGGCAGAAACCTGCCTTTCTCCGTTTTGTAAATAATACGAAAAGTCAAGTTTCTAGCCCTTATGGCTTGCAGAGTCAGAGCTGAGAACGAGGACAGCGCAGGAGCCTTCCGGCCAGCGACTTGGCACCAATGTGCCCTAGATTCATTATTTACCTGTCTGCTTTTCCGCTGTGATCTCTTAGGTAGAAGCCTAATGTCAGCAAATTCAGGAAAGATAAAAGGACTTTTTCATGCAACGTTTAAACTATGGAACTCACTGCCACAAGAGGCAATCACGGCCATCAACCCAGACAGCATTAAATGATGATTAGGCAAATTTGTGGAGGAAAAGGCTATATATGGTTGCTAGCCAGGATGGCTATGCTCTGCCGCCTCCTCCTGTGGTTTCCAGCTGGTGGCATTCAGAAGCTTTGCTGTGTGGCCAGCGATAGCCTTTCCCTCCTCTAAGAATTTGCCTAAATCCTCTTTTAAAGCCATCCCAATTCCAGATCTGGAGTTTGCCAAATTGATGGACATAATAAGGCATAAATCTAAAACTATGGTACAGAAACAATGGGAATGCTCAAATGAATATTTACACAAACAGGGCTCAAATACGAAAGTTTGGTTGTGCTTAGACTAACCTTGCGAAGAATATAGAGAATACAAAGAATTGATGGGTTACGAATGAACTTAAAGAAAGGAAGTGATTGAAGAACAGATGTTAAGGTGAACTAGATAACCAAGAGACGTGTGGTGAATGTGGTGGAAGTCTTTTATAATATTTCAACTAGGATTTATATGTTGAAAATGTTTGAAATATGAATTTGGTATTATTGATTATGGAAAGTATTTTTCTTTCTTTTTTCTTGTGTCTTTTCATCTATCTTTCATCTCTTTTCTTTTCTAATCTACAATTTGAAAAATGTGTAGACAAATGTTTTTATGTATTGTTCAGTATTGTTTCTATTTCTTTTTTTCTTTTATTTTCTTGTAACATTTAATAAAATTTAATAAAGGTGTATAAAAATAAATAAAAATAAAGCCATCCCAATTGGTGGCCCTCACTGCCTCATGTGGCAGTGAGTTCCATAGTCTATACGCTGCATTAAGAGGTATAGAGAGGCAGGCTTTAGACAGGCCCTGCAAGGGGCGAATTCTCTGAGTCTCAGGTGGGCAGCCCTGGCCCCCTCCTGAATTGCCAGGGGACAGCCAAGGATCTCTTCTGTGAAAAAAAGACAGTCACGGAACCAAGAAATTACACAAAACAAAAGAATTGCCGTGAAAATCCCTCAAATGAGAAGTAATCGACTATAGAATTGAATTAAATAACAAAAATCAAAAAAATTAACCTAGAATTAAACAAAGACTTAACGAGATGCCGGCTACCAAACTCGTTTCACTGAACTAATCAGTTTCCTTAGAAGGAAATAAAGAAATTATAAACCTTAAATGATTTTAAGTGATATCAAGCAAACTCAAGAGCAGGGCTGAAACGCTTCCTTGAGTTTACAAAAAAGGTATAAAAACCTCAGTGACAAGTTTTAAACATAGCCCTATTTAAGAGGACATTATAAACCTTAAATGATTTTAAACGATTTCCAGCAAAACATTTTAGCCCTGCTCTTGAGTTTGTTTGATATCACTTAAAATCATTTAAGGTTTATAATTTCTTTATTTCCTTCTGAGGAAACGGATGAGTTCAGTGAAACGAGTTTTGTAGCCAACACCTCGTTAAGTCTTTGTTGAATTCTAGGTTAATTTTTCCTTACATTTTTTTTATTTTTGTTATTTACCGTATTTTTCACCTAGTTTTTGGAGAAGGAAAACAAGAAAAAATATATTCTGAATCTCAGAAGCCAGAACAGCAAGAGGGATCGCTGTGCAGTGAAAGCAGCAATCCCTCTTGCTGTTCTGGCTTCTGGGATAGCTGTGCAGCCTGCATTCACTCCATAAGACGCACACACATTTCCCCTTACTTTTTAGGAGGGAAAAAGTGAGTCTTATAGAGCAAAAAATACGGTAATTCAATTCTATAGTCAATTACTTCTCGTTTCAGGGATTTTCACGGCAAGTCTTTTCTTTTGTGTAAGGACCTCCTCTGCGGCAGATGGGAACCGCTGTAACCTTGGCCTCTCTTCTCCCGCCAGGTGTGCTGTTTGCCCGGAGGTCTGGCGTCGCCGGCAGCACCCCAAGTGCCCACAGCCACAGCAGCCCCGTGACCTCGCAGAGCCAGCTGCTGTCCACGGCACCACGGGGCCACACTCCGGCCAGCACTTCGCCGTGAGGGGAGACGTCCCGAGAGCCTCCTGCCTCCACCCCTCAACCTGGCGACCTTGGGCGGCGGAGACAACGCCACGGTTGCCCTGTGCCAGGGCCCAGCAGAGGGCACCCAGGGTTGCAACTGAGTGGGGCTGGGTGCTGCAGCCCCATCCTTTCCTGGGGGGTGGGATTTCTGGGCAGGATGGAACGAGACGCTTGAGCAGAGAGCTTTGGAGAGGACTTGAGGGGACTTGGAGAAGGAGGAGGAGGATGGGGAGACCTCGAGGCCGGACTCTGGACTCTGGAGAAGACTCAGCGGCGGGCACGGGTGCATCCGCTCCCCTCCCCTGTCAAACACGCACAGTTGTATACCCAGCACAAGCATGCTGTTCGCACACACAACACCTCACATCTTCAACGTGACATCGCTCAGGGCTGGGCAGCCCTCGTGAGACCAAGGCCTCGCTCTCACCTGCCCCGTGCCAGGCTGGGGGATGCCAGGGCAGAGGTGGGTGGGGCCTCAGCGCTGGCGGGCGTCATTCCAGGCACACAGGTGCCAGAGGTCTCTGCGCCCACGTGCGGGCAAGCAAAGAGGCATCGCCAGGCACTCAAGGAGGGCATGGATCAGAACTGGCAAGGGGAGAGTCTCAGGGGCCAGGGAGAGAGGCCCGGGAAGGTGGATTTGGCCCTCAAGGCCTGGCCCGCTTCACCCCGGACATTCTCTCTCTCACACACAGTGGTCCTCCTCTCCCTTCCATTGACGGGGTCTCTTGTCCTTTCCAAACCACAACTGTGGGGCATCAAAAGCACTTGGGGGAGATGCGAGGTGCACAGAACCCCAAGCCTGGCGTTGAGTTTAGAAGGGAAGAGGGTGGAAGTGGGAAGGGAAGCCAAAGGGGAAAGATGGAGGCCGAGGTGGCAGGGAATCAAAGAATGGGCAGGCGAGGCGGGTGATGGAAGTGGTCCTTTTCGGGAATAAGACAGCAGCTTCCGGGGTTGGGGCTGAGTTGCACTTGATTGTAGAAATTGCTTTTTCTCGCCCCCCGCCGCTGTGGCACCCAACGCCTCCCCAAACGCGGTACCCTCTGAAAGGTGCCTTGGTGATGCCCGCTGGTCCCTTCCATCCCTTCCCCTCCTTGCTTTGCCAGCCCAACACGGGTGCCTCTCCTTTCCCCTCGTGCAACGCGCCCTCCGTCGGGGAGCAAACGCACACGGACCGACGGGTAGCTGACCTTGGCGCACTTTCCTCATCGCCACCCTTGGGGAGCCGGTTGGGGACAGGCTGGGTTTGCCTCTCCCCCTGGTTAGGCTGCCATCGGGGGTGGGGAACAGGGGTGGGTTGGGTTGGGGGGGCAATCCTTTGGAATCACTGGAGGGGTGGGGGTCCGGGTGGGGTGTCGGGGAATCTCTTTTTGCGCCCGTGCAAGGTTTATAGAGACGTACCAAAGAAGGGATCGAGTTCATCTACCTCATGTTCTTTTGAAAAATGTGCCAACGGGGGGAAGTGGGGGTGGGTTTGGGGAGAGGCAGGCCAGACAAGCTGGCGACTCGGCCTGCTGCCGCTGCCGCTGATTCTGCATCCGACGGGAGCTTGGTTTTTGGTTTGTTTTGAAACAATCCTGTGCTTTTGACCAAAGAAACTCTCCTCTTCTCTGCTGCACGAGCCACTTGCTGCACGAGATTTCATCTTCCCAGACGGACTCTGCCTCCGGAAAAGGACATTTCAGGACTCTCTGGGAAATGCGGACATGGGCAGAGGACGGGACTGCGGGTGGCATGACTGTTTTTAAGCTCTTCTACCAAAGATGGGATGCATTTGGGCACTTGGTTCTTCCGCCGCGGGAATGGAGGTGGCCGGCGAGCTCATCTCTTGTCTCTCATTTTCTGTCCTCCTTTTCCCGGCAGCTCCAGACAACCCCTTTGCTCCTTGTGTCTAGGTGGTGCTTTCCCGGCCCTTCCTGCTGCTGCCGCTCCCTCCTGCTTCCCCCGCTCTCCCTTTCCCCCTTCCTTGTCTGTTTTTGGAGTCGATCCAGCGCACTGAGTCGGGAGCTGGGTCCTGGCGCTCAGGGGAATGAATGCAAGTACCGATGAGATGGAAATAAAAGCAGAAATACTTTTAAAAGATGCATCGGAGACGAGTGATGTTTCACAGCAACAACCGCGCCCTACTCCCCGGTTGCTCTGAGGGTCACCCCCTCTCGGCCTGATCCCTTAAACTGTTGGGTGATCAAGAATCGAGAACCTGTAACCTTTGACCAGCAAAGGAGGTTCTCTCCTGCCCAGCCCATGTTCAATCAATAAAAACATAAATGCTTATAATACCGTTTATTGATAGAATATGTCCCAACATTTCATGCCTGGGCACCTTGCGGCAGCTCAGAGTCAGGTAGCCACCGAACCTTAATGATGGGATGGAACAGGAGAGCACTTGGAAATAAAAAGGGGAGATATAAACAGCAGTGGAACTGCAGGGTCCGGCCCATGCTAGAAAAACGAGTCTTTCTGCACATTGACTATCACACACACTATGGAATTGCACCCCCCCCCCAAAAAAAGCCATGAGCTTGGGTGACTTTGAAAGAGACTGTGGTGTAACAGAGTATCAGACTAGGAACTGGGAGACCAAATATGAGGCTCACTAGGCCAGCCACAGTCTCTCAGACAAGCCTACCTCACAGGGTCGTTGCTGCAGAGATTAGAGGAGGAAAAGGAGAACTACTTGTGCCATCTTGAGCTTGGAGGAAAGGTGGGCTATACATGTGGTTTTAAAAAAGGGCTTGAGACAAATTCATGGAGGCAGCCAAGGCTACTGGGCACAATGGATTTGCCCCCTTTCATAGTGCCTGCTAGACTATCACAATTAAATGAATGCAAAGAAAAACACAATGATGCTGCCACACCATTGTCTTGGGATGTCATTTTCATTTATGGGTTTCCCCGTCTTGTCTTGAGCATCGGAGGTGATTTACAGCAACATCATTGCCTCTTTCCATGGCAAGTAAACACAAATAATACTATTTCTCTGTATTTCAGAGGTGGCGTATGATCACCCTGAGACTTTGGCCGCAACTCAATTCCAGGGCGGGGGGCAATCCAGAGAAAGGGCCCCTCTCCTTTTTATATCGTGCGTTCCTGATTATTTGTGCTCGCGGTGGTATCAGGGCTGTTCTACACGATCCCCCATTTCATTCTGTTGCCCCTGCAAAATTTCAGAGTGGGGAAAAAACTTGCTGCCAAGTGCAAAAGCGTTTCTCTGGACAGCAATAATGCAACAAACTGGGGGAGAACCACAATGAAAACAGACTGGTGTGCGGATGGCTCTGTGTAAACCCACCACAAATACACAATGGTTGCATGGATGACATCTCGCTTGGACCACTGCCAATGCACTCTATGTGGGTCTACCTTTGAAGGTGACCCGGAATCTACAACTAATCCAGAATGCGGCAGCTAGACTGGTGACTGGGAGCGGCTGCCGAGACCACATAACACCGGTCTTGAAAGACCCACATTAGCTCCCAGTACGTTTCTGAGCACAATTCAAAGTGTTGGTGCTGACCTTTAAAGCCCTAAACGGCCTCTGTCCTGTATACCTGAAGGAGCATCTCCACCCCCATCATTCTGCCCAGACACTGAGGTCCAGCTCCGAGGGCCTTCTGGCGGTTCCCTCACTGTGAGAAGTGAGGTTACAGGGAACCAGGCAAAGGCCTTCTCGGTGGTGGCTCCCGCCCTGTGGAACGCCCTCCCACCAGATGTCAAAGAGAAAAACAACTACCAAATTCTTTGAAGACATCGGAAGACAGCCCTGTTTAGGGAAACTTTTAATGTTTAATAGCTTATTGTATTTTAATATTCTGTTGGAAGCCGCCCAGAGTGGCTGGGGAAACCCAGCAAGATGGGTGGGGTATAATAAAAAATTATAATCATCATCATCTTCCACAATACACTTGCAATAAAATGCTGGTATCTTCTGTTTGTCTTTCTGCGTTTCCCCACAGATTTAAGGTCTGTTCATATTGGCAACTTGGAATCATAGAATTGTAGATTTGGAAGGGACCCTGAGGAGCACTTAGTCCAACCCCCTGGAAAGGCAGGAATACACAGCTGTCCCTTACGGGGATCAAACCTGCAACCTTGGCGTTATCAACTGAACTATTGCTGGAAGGTTCCTATGATCCACATCAGGGTCAAACTAGACATTCTGAGAACTCATACAAGATTTGGCTCTCTTGGTGTGACGTTGCTCTAGAATCACAAGATGGGTGATCACACCGCTTACCATATACTGACTCTACGTTCTGCCTCTTGGGAAGAAGGGAAAGCTGCCTTACGGGGGGCAGCCCAGTGTTTCACCAAGCTCAGTATTGTCGACACTGACTGACAGCGACTCTCCAGGGCATGAGTAGGCAACCTAAGGCCCGGGGGCCGGATGCGGCCCAATCGCCTTCTAAATCTGTCCCATGGACAGTCCAGGAATTAGCGTGTTTTTACATGAGTAGAATGTGTCCTTTTATTTAAAATGCATCTCTGGGTTATTTGTGGGGCATAGGAATTCGTTCATTTTTTCCCTTCAAAATATAGTCTGGCCCCCCACAAGGTCTGAGGAAAAGTGGACCGGCCCCCTGCTGGAAAAGTTTGCTGACCCCTGCTTCAGGAAGAGTTCTCTTCCCACCCCCAACATCAGGGTCTTTTCCAGGGAGTCTTCTCTTCTCATGAGGTGGCCAAAGTCTTGGAGCCTCAGCTTCACGATCTGTCCTTCCAGTGAGCACTCAGGGCTGATTTCCTTCAGAATGGAGAGGTTTGATCTTCTTGCAGTCCATGGGACTCTCAAGAGTCTCCTCCAGCATCAGAATTCAAAAGCATCGATTCTTTGGCGATCAGTCTTCTTTATGGTCCAGCTCTCACTTCCATACATCACTACTAGGAAAACCATGGCTTTAACTATATGGACCTTTGTTGGCAAGATGATATCTCTGCTTTTTAAGATGCTGCTCTGAAACTGAGCTACGTCTAATAATACAAATTTTATTATTTGTACCCCACCCATCTCACTGGGTTGCCCCAGCTGTTCTGGGTGGCTTGCAACAAAAATAGATAAGCATAATAAAATATCAAACTTTTTTTTAAAAAACCAACAACCTTGCCTGGGACTGCTGTTTATTGCACTGCCTCTCAGCTGGGAGCATCGCTAAGCACAGGCAATCAGAGATGAGCAAGTGCTTGCTTTTAAAATAAACCAGGGGATAATAATCATAATTTTTTATTTGTACCCTGCCCTTCCCAGTTCAGAAAACCGGGCTCAAGGCGGCTAACAATAAATTTAAAACACTTAATTGATGCAACGAAAACCAGCATAAAATACAGCATAAAACGTGAATAACAATAAATTCAGAATTCAAAAATCAATTTAGGGGGGAAATCCATCCAATAAACATTAGATGG